TTCAAAGGAACAACCTTTAATGAACTATTTACATGTCTTAAGACGAACCTGCAGTCCAGAGTTCGGGAGCCAAAGATTTTGGGAAGAAATTAACTAATATATACAGGTCTTGGGTGCTTGAATTAATTTCCTCACATCTCAGCTAAGTGATCGTCAAGGGCAAAAACTTAAGCGTGGTCAATTGGGGATGGACCGGCGTCAATTGGGTAGGAGAAGATGTTGTTGGGTCCCTCGGCCATCAATCCGTTTCCACCAGGTCTCATTTGGGATGCTGGAAGCAACAACTTCTTGTCAGAGGTAACCCACATAAGATCAGTCCAGATCAAAGCATCATCTTGAACAAGAATGGATGCGTATCCTTCAGGGGTGACCTTCCAGATCGCGAGCAAGTTGGTGTCGCTAACATAGACGTTTCCATCGCCATCGATGGTAGATCCACCGGTGCTTGGGGTCAAGGCGAAGGGCTCAGTGAGGTCACCAAGGCTGGCAGCCATGGTGGCGTTGGTCAATGCGGCATCGACGTAGGCGGTCTCGATACGGTAAAGTCCTCCGTTGCATGGTTGGTAGTAGAGGTAAACTCCGTCGGGGGAGACCTCAATTTGGTCGAGTCCAACGGCGAGTGCGCTACCTGCGGCACCGTAGCCTGGAACAAGGGTGTGTTTGTACATCATAGGGAAGAAGGCAACGGCGGATGGATCATCAACGAGAACGCGGACTCCGTCTCCAGTGGTCATGTTCAAAATGACGAGAGCACCGGCAGTGTCACTGAGATAAGCGATCTCACCGCTGGCACTGAAACGAACATCATCAATACCGCTGTTGGAAGCAATGATGCTGTCGAGGTAGTAGATCTTGTCTACGGTATCGGTGGTAAGGTTGCATCCAACCAATTTGGTGGATCCGTTGACACCGCTTGAACCACCATCGACCAACCAGTAACGACCATCGGGTCCGATTCTGGCACCGTCGATGCTGACAAACTGGAGACTCGGATCAGAGCTGGGGTCGCTTGCGTTGTAAGAGTTCCAATAGACGTCGGGATACATGACAGTTGTGTTGTCGGCGAGGAGCTCCACAGTGATTGGTGGCAGAGTAGTAGAGTAACGCTGGGAAAGGAACTTGCGTCCATCGGCGGAGATGAAGATACCTTGGGTAGGTAACTCGAGCGAGTACTCAAGGGTGAGGCCTGGTGCAGGAGCTGCAGCCATTGGCACTGCTGAGAGGAGGGAAAGAGCAAGAGTAGACAACATGGTGAAATTGATGGAAGATATTGAGATATTGAGACTTTGGATGCATTGGAGCAGTTACTATATATACTTGACTTCACAATGATTCTGCTAGGATATGCTCCATGGTAGACGGGCAAGCCGCAAACGTCATCACAGTGCCCGGTCCAGTTTTTGTTTCTATATGCAGGGGAACCTCTAGATTTCTCGGAGCTAAAATCTTTAATTCAGCAGGTGCTTCTGATACTCGTGTGGCGCTAGAACTTGCTCGATAGGTAACCCTCAATGCGCTAACAAATGCCATATGGTTGCAAACTACAAAGAGATTACCCTTGTTCCTTGGCGTTCAAAACTTCGGAGTTGTGCGCTTTCTGGTGGTCCAGGTACGTGTTCTCGGTCCCGGTGCATAATCTTGATCATAAGCTGTGCTGATCGATCATTTCTTCTTCTTGAATAGGAAGTTCCAATTTCCTTAGCTACATTCCAAGCTGAGAAGTGACTGTCAATATCAGATGCACTTTCAAGTGTTTCTGCTAATCAGTTTCCTGTAAAAGTCTATGACCTTCTATGAAGAATATGTCAGACTAGCTAACGTGACAAAGACTGCTGAGGAACTCTCAGAATAGTAAGCTAAGTACAGCCCCCACAATCAAACCAATCCGGTACTTCTCGGTGGCGTGGAGCTACATGGATACTGGAAGTATCTAACCACAGGTACGTACCCCCAAGCCCTCCCAATATGAGAAAGTTTCTTCATCAAGGTGATTCAAGGGTTGTCGGAGGTGTGTTCATCCCAACAGAGGGCTTACCCCGAAGACCTCGGAAGGAACATTGGTGCCAAACTGGAGTCACGACCATAGTTTTGATAAGATTTGTATGCTGTTGCTTGATTGAATTTTCATCCCTAGTATTAAGTACCGGTACATGGTATGCTTTAATGCTTCGTACTCAACCGGTCCCGAAGCTACTGGAAGCATAAATGAAGGTTATTTGCAAGCCCTGTCAGGCCCATTCTCCACCTTAACTCAAACAATGAAGACAAACATTTAAATGGCTGAAGCAACAAGCTATGCGTAGTCTAAAAACTAGAGTAGATACCATAACGAACGATTCTCCAAACGCAAAACATGTAGTATAGTAATCATGATGTTCTTCGGTCCCGAGTCGGTCCCGAAACCCTTGGTGGATTGGAAATCGCGCAACAACCATGATAAAAGCGCCGGGCAGCACAGTGTTGATGCTTGCTTGAAAGTAAAGGACAACTGTGCGGCGGTGACGATCATTGAAGGACGCGTAAAGGTATGGAGTTATCAGATCAAAATTTAGTCACAACCATCAGATACCTATTAAAGAGTATATATATATTATTAGTATATTATATAGTGTTTTACAGCTCTATTGAACCGAATTAGGGGGTAATACGGTATGAGTGATATATCGAAGAGATATCTCTTTTCTCTTGCAAAAGCCTTTAAACCACCCCTCAGAAAAGGTGAATAAGCTCTCGCATTCAGGATTAGCTTCTTTCCAAAGCCTCCTAGAATGATATTCAAACCACTCCTGTCGAATAGGCTTGCCTAGAGCTCTAGCTTCCAAAAAAGGATTTGTGTAATTGATCTTCAAGATCAGGCCAATGAGGCTTATAATGACGCTGTACCCCTCTAGCATCACGTTGAGAAACCTATATAGTATCTCTCTTATGTATCCAACCACTTATAGTACTCCTTGGGATCTTAAAGTATATAGATATCTCCTCTAGTGTAGGGGGGCGATATCGACTAATTTGAAGTGTTTCCAGATCATATACAGGAATTCGATGACAATCATGAAACATAATGACCTTCCGTTTAGTCTCTGTAGTTCTATGCTGTATAGGACGATCCACTGGAGGTGGTAGAACCCATGTTTCTGCACGCTGTTCGAAAGTTTTGTTGTGTTTGCCTCTTTTCCGAAGGGTTGTTGATTTTGAGGGTGTAATAGTGATATTTGTATTAATTTCAATCTAACATAGGCCTACTAGATGACGAAGACATACTGATAATATTTATAGAATCGATGATATAAAGTGGTTTGATTTATTAATATCAATTCGATATATCAAGCTGGGCCGGGGAAATGGCTGAAATTGATGAGTTGATAACCTATCACCGTGTTCTAAAATCATACAAGCGCCTCAAGCTACTCGGCTTCTAAATTAATGAACCTTCTAGCGTTGTAGCGAATTTTCAAATTTATACAGTAGGCTGAGGTTGGTGCGGGAAAGTACCGCGTCATCTGAAAGGGGGGCAAGTTCTCTTTGAAGTAAACTTAAATAACTCACATCGAAGTTCGAACCTAACCTCGTTAAGTAGCCGTTATATCCTCGCTTTCCTGAAAGTAATAGAAGTTTGTATTGGTTGTCAAATGCCCACCTGTTACTAGAACAAAATTCCTTGATCTTACATGATTCGTAAAACCATCGAACCCTCAATGCGACAATGGCACTGTTGCGTCTTTGATGGATCTAAATACCTGTGCTCACTCTTCAGATGGAATGTGTCCAAGCACAGAATTCATCACAGTTCGATCATTCTCAATCCACGCGTCCCCGTTGGTCTCTGGATCTTTGAACACTATCATGGATGTTACCCCAACTAGTCTTTCATTCGAAGAACATCTAAGAAAATCTATCTCAATCCTTAGGGAGAAGACAGGATACGACAGGGTGTCCAATAGTCCGGGTTGCAGTCCAATAATCAAGAACTTTGGAGTATTCAATCCCCTTCAAACAATGAAATTATTTCATATGTTGAAATAGTCCCAATTGTTAGATTGATTTGAAAGAATAAATATATGAAATCGATGATAGTACAGTCGGTCAGTATCTTCAAAATCACAAAACTCGAACCGTGAACTGGACTTGTAGTCCGGACTAGTAGAAACACTGGAATAGAAAGTTAGGTAGTCGTGGTAGAAGCCATCTATACACACTTCATTGATAGAGTTGCGATAACCTGTGCCCTATAAGAATGTATGTTGCGACAAAGGCGAGATAGATTGAGGTAAGCTCGCAAGGTGCATTAGAATGTTTATTCCGAAAAATTCGAGATAGCTGCAAATAATCTTGTTAACTTGAAAACTTCGTTTCGGTAATGCATTATTCCATACAACTTGATACAAGTGTTTTTCTATTCCGATGTTAAGCCATGACATCCTTAGCTCATGTACCCAGTGGTACGGAGTAGTGTCTCTAGAAATAGCTTCGGTATTTTGGGTGCCAATTCACTTCCTCGCCAGACAACGAAGGGGCTCCGCTCGTCAATTCATGTTCGTGCGTGATTGTGAGTTAATAACAGCATCAAAATCATTTACATGATTGACTTTAACATCGAATCTGAAGTCATGAGCATTGCCTATGAGCAACAGTTGAAATGCTCTGGGTGGTGGCGAACCAATAATGAAAGGAAAGTCTTCCGAGGTGGAGCTACCTTTGTTTGTCTACTAGGTCACGTGCCGACATCTCATCAAAGGTCAAATCCGAATTTCTAGCCTTTCAGTACATCACTCATCTGGAAGCATACTACGCTCGCTACGGCAATCGAATGAAGGATCAAAATTGGACTCGAATTCTCTACACTGTGGATATTTCCCGTGTGAGTCGGGATTTCATGATGTGTTCATGCCCAAGAAATCTGACCGCTTAGGCACAAACAATTCTACTCTATCGGCAAAGTTTCCCAGCTTTCACCTCTCCACTATTTTCGGATTCTTTTGAAGAGTTCCTGACTAGCTACTATGTCGATAAGGTAAGTTAAGCTTATATCAAACACAGAAGAATATTTTTCTTATCCTCAAAAATATCCACAATAATTCTTATCGTTCGAAAGAGAAATGCGAGCAGGCAGGTTGTCCGCAATATCACATTATCAATGTTGTGTTTGTATCTAGATTTTCCAACATTTTGTGGAAACAGTAAGTGAGAGTGTAACAGTTGAAGATAAGTACCTTTCTATATTACCTCTATTTCTTTCTCACATAGTTTGTGTCTTGGGCCGTTCTCTTATTCTCCAATATTGAACCCTTCCATCAGTGTATTGTACTATTTTTCAATATACTTTCATAACCTCATAATTTCCTTGATCTCGAAGATATGACCATTTATTCCTCCTGCAAGCCATGGCTTTGCAAAATGCTCAACGATGCCCCCAAAATACATACAAGCATCCATCATTATATCAATTGGTGGTATTCTATTTGGCCTTGATACGGGGGACTATTGGTCCCCTAACAGTGATGCCTCAATTCGACGAAACGTTCGGCAAACTCTCATCAACAGTTTGTGTGTAGCCACCCTTCTCATTATTTCGCCTTCGCTTGTCTTGCCTAACTAAAACTAACGCAATCCGCCCTCTCCAGCATGGCCTCCTTGTCTCCACAATCCTCATACCCGCAGCTCTCTCCTCAATATTCACTGGTCATTTGGCCAATACTCTTGGTCGCTTATCAGCTACTGCAATCGGCCTCCTTCATCTTTGGTATTGGTGCTGCTATTGAATGTAGTTCTTTCCATCTTCCTCAGATTTTCATCGGGCGCGCTGTTAAGGGTGTTGGCGAGGGCTTTTTCCTAAGCACATTAGTCGTCTACATTACCGAGATATCACCACCTTCCCAACGAGGTACTTTGGCTAGTCTTCCTCAGCTCGTCACCACTATGGGGGTTCTAGTAGGCTATTTTATGTGTTATGGTTCTGTGGGAATAGAATCAAGTTTGAGTTGGAGATTACCATTTGCGGTACAAGCAATTATCGCATTCTTGTTCACGGCCAGCACTATGCTGTTTCTACCGCAAAGTCCAAGATGGTTAGCGGCAAGAGGAAAATTTGAGGAAGCGGAGCGGGTATGGTCAGATTTGAAACCTCCCAGAAAAAGAGAGAGAAAGGGTGGACGATGATGTAGATGATAATGAAAAGGCGGACCAAGAAGTAAAAGCGAAAGACATGTTTGCGATTTTTGCACCAGATGCTTGGAAGAGGACAGTTCTTGGGCTATTCTTGATGGGAATCCAGCAGGCGGCTGGTATTGATGGTGTCTTATATGTATGTCTCTCTAATCTATTCCACATTCTCACGTCTCAAAACTTACAAAACCAGTACGCACCCCTCCTCTTCCAATCCGCCGGCTTAACTTCCTCAACGGCTTCTTTTCTCGCTTCAGGCATCTCCGCTCTCTTAATCTTCCTTACAACTATCCCAACCTTTATCCTCGCCGATAAATGGGGTCGCAGAACTAGCACCATCGTCGGTGGTGCTGGTCAATTCATTGTTATGTTTATCATCGCCTCTCTCTATGCCTCAGATTCGGTACATTCCTCCTATGGCGCCGGTCGCTGGGTCGTTATCATCTGCATCTATCTCTTCGCCATTATATTTTCCGCCACATGGGCCGTAACCTTTAGAGTATACGTAGCCGAGATTCAAAGTGCAAAGACGAGAGCCGGAGCAACGAGTTTGGGATTGAGTGCTAATTGGGTGGTGAATTGGATAATAGCATTTACGACGCCTATCTTTCTGTCAAAGAGCACGAGTGGATGTTATTGGTTGTGGGGAAGTGCCGCTTTAGTAAACAGTCGTTGTGGCAGCGTTTTGGATGCCGGAGACGAGGGGGAAGAGTTTGGAGGAAATTGATGCTAGTTTTAGGAAGGAAATAGGAAGGGTGCAATCAGGGGTGGTGGAGTTGTGGAATTGGGGCCCGTGGAGTATCTGGGAACACAACATGAGGAGAGATGCGAAAAGGACGGCAAGCATGATATGAAAGTTACTTCACGGGTGTGGTAGATACTCCAGCTTCGAGTTCTGCTGTATCGCTATCGTGATTTGGTGTGGTATGACATTTCAAGAAGTGGACGGAGGATTTTATGGATGGCTTCCATGGTATACAACCATGGTGCAGTGCACCAGTTTAACGAGTAATGACAACATAAAGTAGATGGCTAAGAGGTATAGAAGATAGAATGGTAACGGGAAAGATAGAATCGGTATAGAAACTAGAATTTCAATGAACTGGTAATGATTATTTACAAATCGAAATTACATTCAATTTTTCTTCGGTCAATCGTAAGTAGAGCTCGTAGTACTGCAATATGATAAATAGACTGATTTCTTTTTTCTTCATGTTTTTAACCTTACCAACCGTAACCGAATTTGAAACCGTATAAGGTTAAGCCCATCGAATCTAATACACATCGGACCCTTTTGAGTCAAGACTATCCCTTGTTTTACATTTCCAGATGGAAGAAGCGTAGATACTTTGTTCAATCTTACAATACACCTAATCGTACCTCCATTCAAATCTCATTCAATATTGAGGCAAGTATGTTTTGGATTTGGTAATTTTTATTCGTTGTTGAGAATGCCCTGATCACATGACCAAGTCTGACGCGTCAACGGCTCATCACACGCTCCACGACATTCCTACACTTCACAGTACAAAATCTCCCCGAACAGAGATCAAAAACGACGATCCAACAATTCGGACCGCCATGCCGTATTTTCAGATAGTGAAAAGCCTCGCAAGATGTTTTGTAATGACACACGTGCTCCAAGCTCCGAATACTTCGTTGAAGAACAGGTATTTGTCTAGTCTCAATATTCGACGATCATTCGATGATCAGAATCTCCTAAAATAGTTCTCCCTCAGCTGCATATGCAATTGACATCATATGCCCCTGATAGACTTGATTCTTATGGACCTGAGGTAAATCTTAATTTGGACATTGGCCATCCGACAGTATTGACACCGTTATCGATGTTCCTGTCGCAGTTGAAAGCATCAAGGTAAGACGGGCGATAACATGCACGAAGATAGGTGGAGATGAGTAGTGCGAATACAGTTGTGTCACTACCACAAATATTGGATAGGATGGCTAGTTGATCCAGATTTCCTATTAGGAAGTGACAATGGTACCCGCGTGGACCTAGTTTCATTTTGTATTTGCTTTTATATCAACTTTCTATTGCCGTGTCTTCAATGTCTTTTTATTTTTGTTTTTCTATTCAACTGACTAAACACAACGTCGACATTCATTTGTTTGTTTATATCTCTTTTCAAATTCATACCCGATTCGCTCACAGAATGAACTTTTATTAAATTCCAAAACATTCGAAACACCTTACAAATATGGGCGTCTATCATTTCTTTCTATTTCTGTCTTTAAATCTATTATTTAAGAGCGTGATTTCGATCCTCACCTCTACTACTACTATTCAGCTTGCGTCAGTCAAAGGCTCATTGGCTATCTCCAGTCCGCTTGGGAAATTTAATAATATCACCACGACAAGTCATTCTTCTGCGCCATCATATTGGCTCGAGGAAATCGCTCATCAGGGACTTGCCCCTTTCAATTTTAACGACACTTCATATCAAGTATTCCGCAATGTGAAAGATTTTGGAGCCAAAGGTTGATATAATCATACTTTTATACCCTTTATTAGTGCTTTCTAACATCGTCAAGGGGATGGTATAACAGATGATACTACTGCAATCAACAAAGCCATCAGTTCTGGCGGAAGATGCAAACCTGGCGACTGTCAATCTACAACAACAACTCCTGCCACGGTCTACTTCCCAGCTGGGACTTATATCATCTCATCTTCCATCGTTGATTACTACATCACTCAGATTATAGGTAATCCAAACCAACTCCCAGTAGTTAAGGCTACTGCAAATTCACTGGGTTGGGTTTGATTGACGGAGATACATATGGGGCCAATGGACTCAATTTTGGAGCCACAAATGTCTTCTATCGTCAAATTCGTAATCTGGTGTTGGATCTGACGGAAATCCCGTCTAATTCATCAGCCTATGGAATCCACTGGCCTACTGCACAAGCCACCAGTCTACAGAATATTGTATTTCAAATGAGCGATGCAATTGGAACTCAGCAGCAAGGCTTGTTCATCGAGGGAGGTACGTTGGCCACCTGGCGATTCTCACTTCTTATAGCCACCCACTTTGTTTATGTCATAACCCCAATGCTTAACGCTTACACATAATAGGCTCCGGTGGCTTCATGAATGATCTAATCTTTAATGGCGGCAAAACGGGGGCCGTATTTGGCAACCAGCAATTTACAGTTCGAAACTTAACCTTCAATAATGTTGTAACAGCCATTGACCAAATCTGGGACTGGGGATGGACATATATGGGAATCAATATCAACAATTGTACCACTGGCTTAAATATGTCCTCAGGCGGATCATCAGACCAAGCTGTAGTGTCTGTCACACTGATTGACAGTAGCTTCAGAGATACTGACGTCGCCATCATCACAGCTTACAATAATTCATCTTTGCCAGAGGCTGCAGGAAATCTTATCCTTGATAATATCCATTTGACGAATGTTCCAATTGCCATACAGGAATCGCAAAACACTGTTTTGGCTGGAACTAGCAACCAATCAATGATCATCAATGGATGGGGAGAAGGAAACCAATATACACCAAATAACTCAACCCGCTTTGAGGGATTTATTGTTCCCTTTCCTCGCTCTGAGTCTCTTTCTCCCCGTGGAAAGTTCTACGCCCGTTCAAAACCTCAGTATGAAGACTGTCCGCTTTCTGAGTTCGTTTCAGTCCGTACAGCGGGTGCTACTGGAGATGGGGTCACCGATGACACGGATGCATTGAACCATGTGTTTGCACTCGCGGCCATCGCCAATAAGATTGTCTATATAGATAGTGGAGTTTACCTCGTCACGTCGACTATTCATATTCCATCCCGTTCGAGGATTGTCGGTGAATCATATCCAGTCATCATGGGATCGGGATCATTTTTCACAGATGTTGTTCATCCTCAACCTGTTGTCCAAGTTGGACTCCCCCTGGAGAGGGGTGTTGTTGAATGGTCGGATACGATTGTTTCGACGCAAGGATATATGGGAGGAGCCATTCTGATTCAATGGAATCTAGCCAGTCCAGCGTGGTCTCCTTCCGGACTTTGGGATGTCCATACGCGTATTGGCGGATTCGTGGGTTCTGATCTCCAGTTGGACCGCTGCCCCGCTACCGCTAATAGTACTGAAATTGTTCTTGAGTGTAGAGCTGCTTTCATGTCAATGCACATCACCAAGTATGCATCCGGTCTTTACCTAGAAAACAACTGGTTTTGGGTTGCCGATCACGATATCGACGACCCTAATCTATCTCAAATCACAATTTATGCAGGCCGTGGACTTTATTGCGAATCTAGAAAAGGAGCTATATGGCTTATTGGGACTGCTGTTGAGCATCATACTTTATATCAATATCAGTTTGATAGTACGAGAGATATTTTTGCAGGGCAAATTCAGACGGAAACTGCCTATTATCAACCGAACCCCATTGCGATTTACCCCTTTCCAGCATTGGATGAATGGAATGATCCCGATTTCGCCAGCTTATGTGGAAATACAACGGGAGAGAACTGTGCAGAAGGATGGGGTCTACGAATCATTGACAGCGAGCATGTCTATGTATATGGCGCTGGAATGTACAGTTTCTTTGATAATTATAGTACTTGTAAGTTTTCTCCAATCTATCTCGATTGGCTACTTTACTAACATATCTGGACCAGCGTGTTCTGCCCAAGGAAATGGCGAGGCTTGTCAAGCTAGAATCTTCAGTCTTGAGGGGGACAGCTCGAAGATCGGTATTTACAACCTGAATACAGTAGGTATCACGAGTATGATCACTATTGATGGGATAGATATTGCGAATTATTCTGACAATATTGCGGGTTTTGTCGATCATGTTGCTTTATTTAAAAGCGAGGAATAATGTTTAGACAGTAGTGCAGTAATGAAGGTCATCAGATCTTCCGCTTCAAGGAGTCATACCATGAAATAAAGAATAGAAATCGCATTGTCTTTCCAATGAACTATGTTTCGTACCCCTATGCTGACTTCTATATATCACATGCCATTCTCAGGGGCATTCTCAAGATGATCGTACATGTAGAAAAACTCCGAAATAAAGCTAGTGTTCCAGATCAAGACTCAGTAGCTTATTTTAGTTAAACCAAAAAAAAAAAGAAAAAAAGAAACAAACGATCATATCGTTTTGTTGCATATCTCACCAAACCTACTTTTTCAATTGTGTTCTCTAAAAGATAGTGTGAAACAAACTGCCAATCAAACTCCTCTAACATCAATCCACTTAACCCATCCATCGAAAAGAGCAAAAATTCCCCCTCCTCTCAACGAACAAAGCTCTAAAACTCATCTCGATCCTAATTTCCCATCCTCCCCAACATCGATTTCTTATTCCCTAGCTCCAACATCTAGGATACTAGTAAGCATCACCACAAAGCCTTACTCCTTGACTTAAAACACTGTTCGCCTCCCCCTATCACCTATCCTCACACTAACAAAGGAATATTCGAAAGGTCGTGACATCCTCTGCACATTCGCCCACAATCGCAAAAGCCGAATTTGGTTCTTTGTTCATCGCATCGATTTTCTGGTCTCGCATCTTGTATTTCGAAAATTATATGACAAAGAAAAAGTAGTTTACCGGCAATTGTCCCCGCGTTCCGGACCGATTTGCAGATGTGCAACAGTTGGGTATCTTCGGACATCAGAGAGGGGGGTGGTGAATCTGTTTCGAGAGATTGTTTGATCAAAAGGGGAATTGGGTCTGGAATTAGATAGCAGAGGAGACGCGAGGAGCGGAGTGGACAAGAGGGATATGCAAACTGATTCTTTCGGACGAAAATGAAATAGACTACTGTGAAAACTCCCGCCTGATCCCGCTAATTTTTGAATGACTTGAATGAATAGATGAATGCTGAACGCCACTAATGCACAGATATCTCCCCTCTGTCTAGCTGCGCATCCCAATATACATACTCCGCTCCACACACATCTGTACAATCTCCCCTCCATATAAACAAAGATATGTAAGGTGGGGTACCCATCATAAACACAACTATCAGCACAGATGCCACAGACCTAAGGCGTCTGCACATATTCATGCGTTTCCGCCCTCAAAGCCGCAATGCCGTTTTCCTTCCCACTGCTACCAGCCACAGCCCCAAGCGTATCTCTCGTATCGACCTCTCCTCCCCAGCTTGAAAATCGTACATGTTTTCCCCTCCATGCTCTTTTTGCTTTCGTGCCTTCCTTTCCTTTTCCTTTCGCATTTTCTAGAGTTTCGTTCTCGATGCCAGTCCCGGGAAGAGTTAATGTGTTATTCATACCTAGTGGCATAGTCATTGGCCCCTGTCCGTTCACCCCCAAAGCCAAACCCCCCAATCTAACCCCCTCCCCGATATTCTCGCCCTCCTCCTCTTCCTCCCTAATCGGATCATAACTCCAAGCTCTCGCTCTCCCACTCCTCGCATTTCCCATCCCCCTCGCATTCCGCGCGCTCTTCATTCTCCTCCCAAATCCATCTTTTGCGCCCACAAATCCCGGATCGCCTTGTAGTAATTTCCTCTTTCTGTATTCTTTCCTGAGTATCCAGACTAGCATTCCTAATATCGATGCCGTGATGAGGAGTACGAAAGCATTAACTCCAATAGCTACTTTCCATGACGTGGGAATGTGAGGACCGGATGGGGGATCAGAGTCGTATTTAGCATGGTGGAATGAATGCGTATTGCTGTGGTATTCATAGTCGCGGAGTTCGAGGCTTTGAGGGGAGGATGATGAGGGGACATTGCAGTTTGATATGCAGATTGGTGGGGATTGGGGGTTCGATGTAATTCTGCGAGATACACAATTAGCAATTTGTTATTGAGGTAGGTTGAGATATGTATGTTGTCAAATCTAGGAAATTGGCACATACTCATTGATGTCAACATTTCTATCAGCAGAAGCTGGAGTTGAAATTACAGCTGCCCAGCTCACCGCCGGCAACAAAAGAAAGGAGAGATGGTATTCCATGTTAATTAGGTATATCTGCACTTTTCGTGCGCACGCAATAGCTTTTCCACGGAAACAAATAAACAAACAAAAAAATAGTTCACTCTATAAACAATCGAAGAGCACCTGCAAGAATTGGTCAAAAAGAATGAAACTGGAGTAAAAATTAAGGAAAGAAATCGTATTAATGAGAGTGAATGCCGAACAATTCGGCGTCGGTAAATGAATGACAAAGATAGATGATGATGGCGGTGAATTGCTAATTAACCAATATATCAATCAATGTCATACAGAAGGGTGACTAGACATTGAAAGACAGACAATAATCAAAATACCAGATGTTTATTGGTACCAAGAAAAAACATCACAAGCATTGACAGCAGCAGGTAAGACATTATTAATATTCGGACCCCAAGTATGCCTACCTTACCGTTCTTAAAATGCAACCTACCTTTCGATCATTAGATTGACAGAAAATATGGAAAACGAGAATTAGAAATTGATGTGTACAATAGTGCTACTGTAGTAAATGAAGTTAAAATTGAGGATCTATGCAGCGGCACTTTTTTCCAAACAGTCGATCTCCATGTCAAAAATGAAGGGGATCTATTGGTTATCTAGCCGCAAATAAGATAAGAATTGTGGCTATGAGGCAAGTGAAGTGGAAGAGATTTGATTAGATTCGTTCGCTTATCCGGTACCTAGCTTGGTGGATCAGGACTGTACCTGAACAAAAGCTTGGCCTTGAGAAAAAGGGGTATAGACACTGGATAATAATTATATGCATATTGAGATCCATGCTTATTAAACGCTCTGCTCCGCCGTGTGACAGAATCCTTCATAGATCCTCTTGGTTTACAATCCAAAATAGATACTGAAACACATGTGTTCGAAAATTCTACAGAATACCTTTTTGCGTTCATGTTAAATTGTGGTTCAATTTGAGCGTCGCGAAAATCACAGACCAAGCGGCGGTGTTGATCGATTGGCCCACTCATTCATCCATGGTGGAACATCGAATTGGAAATGGAAATTGAAAGTCTAAATAATCCGTATTTCAGGGGTTGAGGTTGATAAATATCTTGGAAGTTTTCCCGCCGTGCGAGGCGGATACTCGTATAGCAACTCAAAGTGCATGAAAATACAAACGGAGACTTTTTTCTTTTCTAAAAGTCATGGAAGCAGCTTTCCATAAGGGTGTGAAGTTATAATCAAATTGTGGAGCAGAGAACCATAGTTACATGTCCCAGAAATTGCCCATACTATGCATACATGGTATAATTTCGTGCAAAATAATGCGAAAAAAGAAAGCATTTATATGTCATCCTCGGTAATCGGCTTCTTCGGCTTGAAAAATCGTCCCCCCTTAGTTCTCTTCTCAGGCTTGAATATTCTCTTCGAATCTCTACTTTCCTCAAGACCTTCCATACCATCACGACCCATGATAATATTAAACTTATTCTTCTTCTTCTTTGCCGCTGATTTACTGAGGACCTTTCCTGGTTTGGATCCCTTACTGTTGACTGCACCTTCTCCTCCCCTTCCTAATCTAGGCTGCCGGGGAACTCTCGTTTTAGCACCAAGTGCCCAAAGATCTCCCCATTTGGATTTCCTAGCATCGCGGTACGCTACTTTACTAAAACTTTTAGGGATTGTCCATCGTTCCAACTTACCCGATGGTGTACAAACATCCAAGGTGACATGTCCACGACGTTTGAGAGGTGGGAGCATAGATCGTGGGAGTGATAATGGATGGAATGGTATATCACCCTCTTCAGGCATTTCTGGGCCATCCGGTAAATCATGCTCTTCATAGCCAGCGAATGATTGGTCAGTGGCAGCATCTCCTTGTAGAATAGCTTCTTCTTTCCTAGCGTCAATGCCTCTTCGTACCGCCAGGTAAGTATATCTAACATCTTCGTGATTGCGAGAAGAAGCACCTAAAATCTTCTGTAAATAAGGTGGTCGGAGATATCGCTGTTCGAAATGACAAAAATCCTTTCTACCCGGGGTAAGACCTGGGACTGGATACATTGGACACTTAGTATGATTAGTACACGGTGCAATGATCATACCCTCTTCTTTCTCCGCAAACCGTGATTCGTTGTCTGAAAGAGATTGAAGTTCTTTTTCGACGCTTTCGTCACCAGGCGAAGAAATATGTGAGTCAAGCAGAAGAGACCGAGCGCCTGCTATAGCCTCAAATCCACGTGGTAAGCCCTTTTCTATCAGGATAAGTACACCTCCTTTGGGATCAAGCATTGACCAGAGGTTCTGTACCATGTGTTTCCGGCGAAAATCTTCCTTCAGTGGGAATAAGGTATGCGGGGCGATTATCAAATCATACATTTTCCTAGGTTGTGCGGGTCCACCATCAAGTTGAGCCTCGCCACTGGATGAATGGACATAATCAGGAAGTCTTGGAAGAAAGGTAGTGTTGTCGAGAAATCGTGAAATTCGGTGTCGCAATGTATCTGCTCCAGTGAGAACCGTGTGTTTCCCAGATGGAGGTACGTCTCCTTCGACAATACCATCGTCTTTCAATACATCCCATTCGGCTCGTAAGATTTCCTGCCATGCTACAATACCAGCCCCACCAGCTCCTGCATCGAGAATTCGTGGACCTTGGCCACCTTCCCTGAACAACATCTCACGAATCCATTCGGACCCTAATCGTTTGCGTACCTCAACCAGCGTACTCATAACAGAAGTATAAGTACCTGACATTACACCAGCCAAATATGCATCTGCTTCAATTTCGCTCATCCTGTGTTGTGAAGCATCAAGTCCAACATGTTTTTGTGGTAAAAGCTTAAGCTTTCCTACGTTTGGAGTAGAAGAAGAATATGGTAACCACTTTCCACCAAATGCTTTCTGTGCAGCCTCTGTAACATGTTTCATGCTTGTTCTCTCTAGCAGTTCGGTAATTGGTGTAACAAATTGTTCTTTCGGCAGTGATATAGTACTTGGGGATGTGCCAAATCTAGCGGTCCTAGTATGCGGATGTGTACGAACTTCGTCCGAGCTAATATATGAATCGTATTCGTCTTCCTCAAATTCTTCGGGATCCTCAAATAATTCTTCTTCAGATTCTTCCGACGATTCTTCCTCCTCGTAGTCCTCGTCAAAAACAGTATCTTCTTGCTCTGCTGCTCGTGCCATTGCTTCGTCCATATCGCGTTGTAGCCGTGCGATAGCATCTACTTCTCTTTGGTTTTGAGCTTGAAATGTTAAATTAGTAGAATCCGTTCCCGCAGAAGCCTCTGCTGCCATTGATATTTCCTCGCCTTCCAATTCCACATCAGGTTCGCTTTCTTCCTCAACCCCCATTTCTCCAGCCTCACTGGCAGAAACAAACCCGTCAGTGCCATCTTCTACAACCTTAAACCCCAGCTCTGGATCGAATTCAATCTCTTCAAATTCACCATCAGCGTTCTCTCTCAAAAGAACATTCCTAGATGGGCCATCCTGTCCAATATCCTCTTCTTCAACCTGCAGATATTCTAAGTCCTCCGGCCTAGTTTCACGCAGTGGCGCACCGTACAATCGCTCATATAATTGATATTCCTCAGCAGATAGATAATCCTTTGGCAAAGTTTCTCCGAATGTTTGTCTAGCCTGCCTCACGAACAATTCAATTTCTGTTGCTCTTGCTTCTGTGGCTTTCACTTCGGGCCCTGGTGTAGTTGTGGTCGTTCGAGCTTCATTTGATCGAGCAAGAGTCGTTGAGAATAATCGTAAGGTATTAGGGCGAGGCTGAATTGATCGATGTCGGATATCGCGAAGTCTTGAATGTGTAGAAGCTGTCGAAGCAGTGGGTCTTGTGAATCCATATTCGAACAGAGAAAGAAGTTGGGATCTACATGACTGGCATGCTCTCGGAACTTTACGTGCGGTGAGCATAATTAATTGGTGCTTGAATGGTAAGATTATCAAAACACTCTTCGAAAAGATTGAAGATTGTTGATAACCTTGATCGCTTGAATATTTACCTGCGAACTTTTTTGAAATATTGCTTTCCGATATAAATTACTATATTCACACCCCTGCCCCGCGTGGGGTGATTTCTTAGCCAATGGATTACGAAGCATTTGATATACCGATACTAGAAAATGATATTATACCCCTTGTCTACATTTAACCATCGCCGCTGTTGTGTACTAGGTAGCTAATCGTTGGACAGTGATATCGTGAGCAATTGTTTCCAAAGAGAATCAGATCAGAAGTTATTGATCCAAAACCTTTAGTCAAAGTACCATTAATATCGCACAGATTACACGTTTACAGTATATCTCAAGTGAGTTACGAGAAACTGAGGAAGATGCCAACTCCCTGCCTCACATCAAGGCCAAGCTTTGGAGTAAAATTGTCAATTGATACTTTCTTTTATCCGGCCATGTTAGTTCCACCAATTCAATCTACTCTTGGCTTATTGAAATCATCATAATGTAAGCTTGTCTGTATACTGTACACAACACATGGTCTGGAGCCTGCTATTCCATCTTCTCTATTAGGGTTCTCGATATTTGGATCATTGGCAACATTTTCTGTATTCCATTGCTTCACAAGAGGCGTGACAACGATTGGGCCATTGAGATATCTCCTATGAAGAGCTTTAAAGAAAGCTACATCGACTGGAGCAATTTGTTACTTCAAACCAAACTGGTATAAAATTGGGTTGCGCCTTCGAATGTTACCATATAACTTGTAGTTGCTGGCCACTCTGGAGAAGACGGTTGTGTTGGTGTATGCACTATTGATCTGAGATTTTGTTTAGCTTAATATGTGCTTAGTGGGCGATTTTTGATGATCCTGTGCCTGGCATATCCCCATCAATGATGATCTGGTCAATATCGGAGTAAGAGCGTCGACTTCTTGTTGAAAATACAGCTATCGTCTAGACTCGAAGTGCCAGCGTACAAAAACCTGGGGAGATATTTCCATCAAAATCGCATCAAATCCCATTGTTCTTTTCTGGGTTGCGGATTTCGCAGGTTCCCCTACTATATTCTCGGTAAATGAGAATCTCATAGATGTCAACGGGTTATATTGCCGATTTCGAATCGCTGCAAAAATTAATATCTATAGCAAGGGAAGTCCTCCAAGAACAAAAGGCCACAGAATTTGGGGAAAACCGAGAATTGAAAGTACAGTCACCTTGATGTGCTTTTCAAAATTGTCACTCCATCATACGTGTGCAGGACTCTGTATATTCCACAATGTATTCAAGTATATTCAACTGAAGGCAAACTATTACTTGCACCTGAAGCGAGAAGTGAAGGGGTAGTACGGATATCTTGATCACCTCTCAGCGATGAGAACTGAGAAGGAACCATTATGATGGGAGGAAGTATCTGTTGAAAACAATACATTAGCGACTTTCCATCTTTGCTCTGTGTATATCGAATAAAGCTCTGTTCTTGCTGGAAGTTAGATTTCAATTGGCTCTTACAGACTCAGAATTCTATTCTTAACTTTATGACTGGTCATGTATTCCAAGATATGCAAGCGACGCAGTGTACTAGGCGAACATCGGAAGATTGTGGCCCATAGATGCGTAGAGCCAGTGGGGGTTGACAGAGTTTAGCTAGAGCTCTCGGTATTGATGGTAGTAAATCAATGGACTACCTTCTATTGATGGGCCACCTGTAAAGGGGACCAAGACAGGCCAATGTTTGAAAAGCTTCCACGATTGAGTCAACACTAATCATAAAATCTACTATGTACTAAGCCTTAAGCATAATCATCATCTAGATGACTTTCAAATAATCACAACCGGTTTCATAAATTTCTTTCAATAAAGATTGTTGGGGAATAAAATAACGACCTTGTGTTTTTCGCACTAATTCTTTATTCAACATCAAAGACATTCATGTAAAATGCAATTTTGTTCGAATTTACAAAACCTCTTTGTTGCTTTGTTCTCTATGTCTACAAATTTCAAATGAGCTATGTGCTTAGAGGCGGTATCTTTGCTGATATCATACGAATGATAAACTTCTACAAGATTCCAAATTGTACCAAAGATGCCAATCTCACCGACCCTTTATCAGAAGAAAATATGGTGCTCCTCCGACTCCTATAGCCATTATTATCGGCTCACACCGCAGCGGACTCACCCCAATATCTGCATACAACCTTACCAGTCCGTATGACAATGCCTCCCGTGAAGAAAGAACAGCGTATCAACAATCCAGGTTACGTGGATACACATCGCAACTTCTAGTTGACCTTGACGTTGTATCATTGAAATCATTAACCATTCCAGAAGATTCAAATCCGATCGATCCAGCAATGCAACGAAGCAGATGGGTTGAATCAAGTGACCTAGTACTTCCAATAAGTAGTTCAGAGAAAGAAGGAATTTCATGGACGGCGCAAAATCCTCTCATTTGGGAGCATCTTCAACCGTGTCTAAAACTCGCTTCGAGGTTGTTGGCGAGAATGCATTTAGACCCTTTTGTATGTGTTCTCGGTTCCCTGTGATTTCTAATCGGAAGCTAACGAGAATAGGTTCAAGCTTTACTACTCGGAAGTACTGAGACAATTCCGATCGAAGAATTCAAGCCTCAAGATGTATTTCGTTTTGGTCCTGGAATCCAAAAAAATTTCAAACGCTTCCATCTCCTGCCATACGATTCGACAAACGCTTTTTGAACAAGACAGGAATTAAATCGTATCGAGAAAAAAATCCTGATGCGCCATTATACGCTGGGATTTGGTGTTGACGAGTCTGCCAAAAGCCAAGGTGATGAAGGAATGGAATCATCTGCTCCTCCAAAACAAAGCTTCGTTGCAGTTTCCACATACAACCGTCAAAATATGACAATAGTCACTGAGTATAATATATACAGCTTTCGAGTGCTGATGAACCCTAACTTGTCTGACGCAGAAAGGCTTTCTGAGGAATGGTATGTGGCAACGTCAATGTATCATGAATTTATGGTTTGTTGTTCCACTCTTCATTGTCTTATCATTTCATAACAGTAGACCAGCATGTACTTGGCTATGCTAAGGAATTCACCTTCGATGGAGACTCTCTCAAAGAGGAAATAAACGAAGCGGTTTCTTATGGTGCACTTTATGAGCCAATGTGGCGTCGAGAACAAAAGTCTGAACTTGGATGGGCAGGCGAGGCTTCCGTAAGAAATCCCAGGCAATCCAAAGCGTTCATATTAATTAGATCTACTTTAGGTGTTTGGAGGCACACACTCTAAAATACTGTACAATAAAATAACGGACGGACCTGGTTTAGGAAGCACTCTAGATCCTTGGCCAGAATACGACGCAGCAAGGCATGGTGATACACCTCAGCTTGTACTGCCCTTGGGCTCAACATGGGCATCTCCTCTGCCTATATATATGCATACCCAGTTTCGATCAGAGGACTTCTGGTCGTTACATACCAGAAAGTATGGGTTATTCCACCCAGTAAGTTCGATAGGCTATGCACATGCAATCACCATCGAAGATGATTATGCTAAAGATATTGATTATCAATACAAAGTTGTTCTTCCGTCTAATTTCAACAGATATTTATCGCCCGTGTCAGTCATTACCCCCACCCTGCACGGGTTTTCGAAACCGAGTAAACGTACTTATGCAGAATATCTCTGGTTAAATCAAGATGGGAGAACCGACAAAGCCAAAACTCTTCAAAGTCGTCTTGAAAGATTTCGCGATTTGTTTCATGATATCAACACAACTATGCATCAACAATCCAAAACACTCATGGATTACTCGTGGTTATTTGCATACTTTGAAGAGCCACCAGAACCAGATATCGAGGAAGCAGATTACGAGAATGATCTTGAGAAATGGCTTGATAAATGGACCGAATCCTTGAACAAACTCACTGAAGCCTTGGATGCGTGCCTACAAAATTTCGACATTTGCATTCACAGACTTATCGTCTGGGAAACAGCCATTAAATCCAGTTTATACAGCGACAGGTACCATGAAGAAGAAATTAATCAACGTATCTACCTCAAGAGTTTTGGAGCAAATCTATTGAAGCTTATCGAGTCACTTAAATTCATAGAAGGAGAAAATGACAGGAATTTGCAAAGGTACTATAATAATAGCATCGATACCTACTGGGCCAGTCGCAGAAAACTCTCCCCTGAATCCGATTACGCGACTGTCGTTGTGGACAATGCGCCGAGTGTACAAAAGAACAAAGCCGTCTTTGAAGCAAAATTACAAAGAGCTCGAGCGCCCCTGGCACATATGGACGTCGCTTCCTTGGAGCCATTGTGTAATCAGATGCTCCATGATGATCTGGGAGCGGCTCTGAAACCAGCATTGAGAGCAGAACTTTTCATACTGCTAACGAAATGCACGAGTCTCCATAAAAGTGAATTAATTGAATATGCGCGGGGAGCGAGAAAAGCACTTCTCTGGTTAACAAGGGATCCGACAGCGTCGGATGAAGAAAAGTTGCCGGCACTGGAGAAACGAGACGAGCTCCAAGAGTATATAAACGCAAATAAAAAATCGTGAATATTTTCAGATGTTCATCTGAAGCTTTGGGTAGTATTTTGCAGGCACAGCTTCAAATGTTCGAAGTAAGTAAGCGAGCAATGAAGGGGTAGAAGGAGATTCTCAAGGGAAAGGATGGACCACGAATTTTTAGGGTTATGAACACAGCTTCCTTTTGTGGACATTGGGGCTGTAATTTTGTTTGATACCCATATGATAATCAATATTTCTCTGATAAAGAGCGTTGCATCTGGCAATTTAAGGACAAAGGAATCAAATAAGAGGCAGTTTCATACATTTCATTACCGCTTGGTTGATAAAGCCTTCATGTATACAATAGCTGTTTTGATGCTGAACTTATCGTTACTTGAAAAAATGATGGGCTCAATTTGAATAACTTAAATTCAGATTTTCTAGTAATAGCACCTGTGTTAATTATACAAAGACCGAGCAGTTGATAACACGATGGGAACGACTGAAGTCGAAATCTTTCCGACATTGCCGGATTGCTATGGAAAGCGAATGATCCAGGGTATTTGTCAGCATACGCCTCTTGAAACCACAGCGCCAAAAAGCTTAAAAGAGACCACAATATGCGCTCCTGTTCAAAACAAAGCGATATAACAATTATATGATTGATATCATAACAATACACAAAGGGAAAATAAATTTCTGGAAGCAAATTAACAAATCTTAGAGTACGATGTCTTTCCAAGCTGAGTATTGCTATGAGAGTTGCGATAACATATTGTTATCCATTTTGGACCTCATTACCCCTCACCATTGGGTGTAGAGTATGTACCTATGTTACCGTACGTGTATATATCGATATCTTCATGCATGAAGTGTAGAAAGATGGGTTAGACTTCCTAGATAGTATTATCTATCGCGGCACAAATGGCTATTATTTTATTGGTGGGCGTATTCAGTCATATCAATTATTGAGTCATCGAAGTATCCATGAACTCACCTCGATTGTTATCGATATCAGTCATACAACTATTCTTCCCTATTTAAACCTTCACAAACCCTACCTTACTCAATTGACCTTTCTTCCTCAACTCATACTTGCCATGGCTCTTCTCGAGCAGGTTTTAGGTCAATTAACCACAAACCCATTCATAGCTCTAATAACAATTACAATCCTATCCCTCCTCCTCCGCTGCACCTACCGCTGCACCCTGCACCCTCTCTCCCACATTCCCGGTCCACTCCTCCCCAAACTCACATCCCTCTGGCTCCACTACCATGCCTACATCGGCGACGAAGCAAGCTGCATCCACAAACTCCACAACCAATATGGTCCCATTGTCCGCGTCTCTCCATCGGAAATCGACATCGCAGATGCAGATGCCATAACCCCAATCTACATATCCAAAGGCGGATTTCCCAAAGCTCCGTGTTATGCAAATTTTGATGTCGATGGTCATAAGACGATATTCTCGACCACAGATGCGGAGTTTAGGGCTCCGAGGGCAAAGGCGGTTATGCCCTTGTTTTCGACGAAAAGTATTAGGGATAATGAGGCTGCGTTGTATGGATGTGTGGAAAATATGGCGAGGAGAATGAAGGAGGATTCTGAAGGAGGGGAACCAGTCAATTACTTGAATCTGGCGAGGAGTTTGGCGCTGGATGCTATTTCTACACATCTGTTTTCGGAAAATTACAATGGAACTTCTGAGAAAGGAGAAAGACTTTCGGCTTCGGCATTTGTTGATGCGTTTGTAGCTGTGGGAAGATTCTTTTACTTGCCAAATACAGTCTTTATTTGGTTATCATGGTTTATGGAAAAATTCATGACGGATTCACATACTGAAAATTCCATAAAGTTGGTGGACCAGTTTGTGGATAATCTTGTGGAATCTACACCCAAGGAGAGTAAGAATTATCCCGGTCGATTACTCAATATGGGGTTCAGCAAGTCGGAAGTGAAGTCTTCATGCAAAGATCTTATGTTTGCGGGAACGGATTCTACAGGTATGAATATGGCAACTATCTTTCGATATTTGGTGTTGTGTCCGGAAAAGTAAGTCAACATCCTATCGTCGTGGTGATCTTAGCGGAAGAAGTATTTACAGACTTGAAGGTATGAAATCCTCCGGACTGAAATCATGGAAAATGAAAATTCTCCCATCAAACAAGAAATTCAAGCTCTTCCCTACCTCTCCGCTGTAGTGAAAGAAGGTCTACGCATCAGCATGGCAAATCCCACTCGTCTACCTCACGTTGTCCCTATCGGTGGATGGACATTCAAATCCGTCTACTTCCCTGCTGGATCTATCGTAGGCTGTTCTGCCTACGAGCTCCACTTTAATCCAGATGTCTTCCCAAATCCCCATGAATTTCAGCCTGAAAGATGGCTGGAAGGGAATGTCACCCCGGAAGCGAATAAATATTGGTTTGCTTTTGGTGCAGGTAGTAGAGCGTGTATTGCGAGGAATCTTGCTACGGTGGAACTTTATATGGCGGTGGAGAAAGTGGTAGAAAGTGATGTTTTGAGGGGTGCGAGAGTTTGTCAGGAGAAGGTTGAGATTTTTGAGTGGTTTAATTCGAGTGTGAAGGGGGAGAAACTAGAATTCGTTTGGGATCTGAATGACAAGCGCTGATCAATTCTAATTTATCTGCAGGCGATATATATATATATATACACTAATATTTTGAACACTTGATATAGTTGAAGTTGCCATTATCATTAGCTTAGAAGTCTCGATGTTTGAACCTGGCCAAACACATTTTCATTCATTTTCTAACCGGAAATTCTACAGGCACAAGCGAAGTCTTTATCCAGACCTCAAGAACACCCTATCATCAATACCCTTGCCCACTCCATCGCCATTGCTCAACACTCCCCTGTCCCTCCATTAACCACTCCAATCGATCTTCAACTGTTACCCATCCTTTCTTCCCTTTTACAACCGCCCTCCCAATAACATTTTTCCACCTAGCACAAAAACCCTTAATTAGCATTTCTAAAAATCCAGCACCCCGAAAGTAAATAAAAAGTAAACTCACTCATCAAACCACTCCTCCTCCCCCATAACAACACACCTCCTTCCCTCGATCCCTCTCCCCACATCTGCAAACGGCCACACACTACTAACAACCTCATATCTCTTCGTCCCCATAAAAACCTTCGCAACGCTACTAAAAAACGAGTTCACTCTGTCTGGCGGTCTTACCACAACTCTCGAATGAGTGATTGGGAAGCTGATGGTAGTGTGTCCTGGATATCCTGTTTGCGCTATGAGAGCAAGTATGAGACCCTGGAGATGTGTAGTTGAGAGATTGGGGATTTGACGTGTTAGTATAAATCTAGTTCAGTCAGCAATCAATTTGCAAAAGAGAGGCACAATGATAACAATAATGAGAAAACATACTCCTTGACACCCGCCTCATCTCCACAAAATGCCCTAACCCATCCCTCCAGCCCCTTCTCCCCTTTCCCCCCATAATCAGGCTCCGTCGCCTCTCTCACACCCCCCCTCCATCCCATTTCGCCTTTCCCAAGAATTTTCATGTAGTTCATTTTTCGCTCTCCTTCCCCAACAATTAAACCCATCAGATTAATCCTAATATCAAAATCCGAGGCCGGGGCATGCATTCGCTGGCCCACAATTCTCAACATAGGTTTTGGAGGGATGGTACACAGAGAAGTGATCAGGGGAAGGAGAGTCCCGGGATTAGATAGATGCGCCGAGGAAGAGGTTATGGTAGTTTTATCACTTGATAGTGTGAATGATGGAGGGAGATACAGGTTATAGGGTAGATTTGGGATGCCTGGGGAGCGGAGCTGGGGGTTGGAGCGGAGGGGCACGGGAGGAGAGAGGGCGGCGGAATAGGCGGGGGGAGTGGACTCGTCATTGTGGTTGTGATTGTGGGGATTGGAGTCGGACAATGTGTCGAGGTGGTTTTGGCGGGAGGATGAGGGACCGGCTTGGGATGTAGGATTGATGGGCTCGAATGATCCGGGAGTGTGGTGGGAGATTGATGGAGATGATTTTTCGTGAGACATTGTGGGGTTTGTATTTAGTGGTGTCTAGTAATGCTTAAAAAGTAGACATGAACACACTATCAAGCAATTACGATTGCACTTGCTATGCGTATGCTAATAGATTGTTAAACATTTAAAGCACCCAAAGAATGTTTTGGATGTTATCTTGCGGTTCCAAGGTTGTACGTGATTTTGAAGATGACCAGCTGAACAGTTGTGGCTGTGCATTTTTTGGTTGCCTGCTAATGCTATTGTCATACGGCTTTTCTTTCACAATTCAGTATTTGAAAATAAAGCGCAAGTCTGTTATCCTAAAATGAGAATGGGTCATACTTCATACTTCATAGGTCATGGATCATTAATATTGTCCTTTTTATTCCATTTTTAATTCCTTAAAAAATTAGTCTATCATCATAGTGTCATCACCATCAACAGCTGGTCCTGCTTCTTCAATAACTACACCACGACCACGTCCTGCTAGCAATTCCCTTCTAACCTCAGGACCGATTTGTGAATGTCCCTTTACATTAATCAAATCTAATAGCGACTCTCTCTGATCTTCTGTAATATCATTTCTATATCTTTGTGCAAATGCCAAAAGACATTGATGCCAAATGACTGGTAGTTTCGCGTCTTTAGAACTGGTTACACCTTCCATTCCGGATCCAATATCTTCGGGTCGAACACCGGCTGGGTCGACACTTCTAAATCGTAGGAAATGGAAAACCAACGCATCGATGACTTGGTATGGAAGTGCGTACTTCTTGTCAAGCAAAGCCTTGATAAAAATGTTTGTAGCTCCACCACCTTCGGTCCCGGCTGATGATTCTTGAGCTGCAATATCGCAAAGGCCTTTGATGGCAGCGGCGGAATGTAGGACTGGGATCGAAACTCGCACAAGCACGCCTGATATAATTCTGGCTTCACGTAGTGTGCAGGTACCACTTCCGATCAATGGGAAAAGGAATCCCTTGAAAAAGGCGGCTGGCTTGTAAAGTGCCTTCTTTAAAGCTTTGAAAAGATGGACATT